ATGGTCGAATCTTCTCGGTTTGGGCTCGAGACTCCCGATCATATCTGCCTCCGAAATGACACACGACGAGACAATTGTTCGCTATTGTACGCATTTCTTTTGTCTTTGCGTTAATATTTTTTTTTCGGGCCTTGGGAGCAAAACTTCAATTTGAAGTAAAGAAGAATATTAGGAAATTACACACGCCTCAAGAAACAAGAAATGGAAAAAGAAAAAGAAATGCCAAGCAGACAATGGCGCTTGTAATTGTTTTTATTTTGAAGCCACTAAGTGCAAGGTTAGCATATGGTGATGTAGTGCAAGGATATACTTTGACCTTGATATATCCTGAGTCCTCCCTGCGCGCTCGCCCGCACGCATACCCAGGACCAGTTTCGTGTGTATATAAAGTGATGCATCTTGCAAGTGGTCAGTTTACCTGTCCTGCACACAGCTGAAAGTCCTTATCCCGCGGTACGTAACTTGATATCCTTCTGATGTCCTGAAATGCTTCCTTCAGTGAGAGGTCATTTATCCTGGATTGTACGAGAAAGAAGGTTCTCTCTTGGGGGAGCTATTCAAGCGATAAGGTCTTCTTTGCTGAAAGCTTTTCCTTCTAAAAGAGTATTTGATTCCAGAAACTTATTTGCAGTAGGTTCACACAATGTTCTCTTTATCCATTGCCAAAGTCTGCTCTGTGGTGTCGTTTTCTCTCCGGTTCTGAAGTGTTTCTTCTAATAAGGATTTCTGTTGAGAATCTTGGTCAATTCTTTGTTCTGTAACCTATTAGTATGGTAATTTCATTTTAAATTAAAGAAATGAAAAGGCAATAATTCAAATAAATCAACCTCTTTGAGCCTTTGCTTTACTAATTCAATGCATTTAGGGTTTTGTATCGCCAGACTTTTCCTTCAGATAACTTAAAGATGAAAACTTAAAAGATTATTCTTTGGTCATGTCTCGCCTCTTTGGAACATTTAGTCCCATTTATTACAGATTTATTCCCCCAAACCCTGAAAAAATTCAGATCCACAAAAAAAAACCGCACAAGTCCATCCTTCCTCAAACCACGCCATCTATTGGTCTGATAGGCTCCACCCGCGAAAACAAGACCACACCCTCAATATCGATTCGAATAGGTCCCACCCACCCAAAGAAAGCCACGCCCTCTACATTTGTCCTATTTGTCTCCACCCACCAAAACAAACCACGCCCTCTATTTGTCCTAATAGGCTCCACCCCCAAGAACATTTAACTCGTCCTGTCTATAACTAGGTTTGTCCTGCCTTTTTGGTATCAGTTCTCCTTGCGAAGTGAAGCAGGTAGAAAGGAAAAGAAGCACCAGGTACGTATTACGTTCATTTCTTATAAGACAGTCTCACTCAGTTATTAGTAAGTCTGTAAATTTTTAACTTTTCATTAGTTTTAGTGCTTATATAGATTTGTAATAGAGATTGCTGTAAAGTTGGTGATAATGATTATGAAAATAATAATATTATTAACGATGATAACAAACACAATAACAGTAATAAGAATAACGGCAGGGATGATAAATATAATGATTTTGAAAATTGTTAACAATGCTAACAATTACGATAATCAGTAACAATGATAACGAGCATAACATTCCATAAAAAAAATAGAACGGGACGGGACAACAGAACAGGTGACGAAAGGTTGGAGAAGCAAAAAGTTGTTTGTAAGAAAATGTGTTAAGGCCTCGGCTTTGTCAGGCAGGGACAAGGGGAAGGATAAGCAGAGTGAGAGATTGAAAAGTAGCGAAATTTTTGAGAAATTGGGAGTAAAAAGGGGGGTGAGAGAAAAAAAATAGGGAGGGAAAAAGAGAAAGTAAGAGAAAAAAATGAGAGAATGTGCGTGAAAGGGAACTAGAAAAAGAGTATAGTGTGCGAAAGCTATTGAGAAAATGAAAGGGAGGTGGTAAGAAAGGGAGAGCGGGCGAGAAAGAGAGGAAGAATGAGAGAGAGAGAAAGAAGACAGGAAGAGTAATGAGAGTGAGACAGAGAGAGAGAGAAAAAGGGGGGAGGGAAGGTAAAACAAAAAAAGGGAGAGTGAGAAAGAGACAGGAAGAGTAATGAGAGTGAGATACAGAGAGAGAGTGAGAGAGAAAAAAGGTGGGGAGGGAAAGTAAAACAAAAAAATAGGAGAATGAAAAATAAAGAGAGGGAAATTGAAAAGGGGAGAGAGAGTGAAAAGAAAGGAAGGGGCATAGATAGATAAATGTAGAGAGAAGGGAAAAAGACATAATGAGGGGTGAGAAATTTATGGAGAAACTGAGAGGGTGGGTAGGAGAGAAAGAGAGAAAAACGAAACAGACAAGGCGTTGAAAAAGAAAGAGAGAAAGAAATATGCAGATACAAAAGGGTAACTTCAAACACATAAGAGGAAAATACACACGTATGAACACTTGCATGCAAATACACGCGTGTGTACCTACGTCTGTGTATGTGTGTGCTGTTGCAATAACCACGTTGAACTCCTTTTTAAATCGGGTATAATCAATATTTCAGATTCTCTTGATTAGAGTGCTTTCTGTAGGCCTACTGATGCTTGTCTCCCTTCTTTTCCCGCAGATGTTGGCTTTGAGAAGCGTGATCATGGCTGTGGCGGTGGTGGGCGTGGCCAGAGTGGGCGCCCGGCCGCAGGTCCTGGACATCACCAAGGTGGCGGCGACGGGCGGCTTCGGCCTCCTGGAAGCTGCCGGCCGCTCCGGAGGCATCGTGTCCAACGTGGCCTCCGACGCCCTGGCCACCGCGCAGACCCTCGGCGAGGGAGCGCGCGACGTCTTCCGCGAGACCTTCCACACTGGAGCGCAGGGCCTGAACCGCTTCAGCAACGCCTTCAGGGACACCACCGGCGAAGTTGTCCGAGGTTTCAAGGACGCAACGCGGGCGGCAAATACCTTCTTCGCCAACGGCGTCCGCTCGACGGGGCGCCTCGCCTCAGACACCGTCAGCACCGGCTTCGAGGTGGCTAGAGACACCGTAGGAGCTAAAGCCGACTTCTTGAAGGACGTCAACGAGTCCGCCGTCCGTGGCGCTGGGAAGGTGGCCGGGGCCGTCGGGAACTTCGCCGAGGGAGCCATCGACAACACCGTCGGCTTCATCGCCCCCGCGACGCAGATTGTCGAGAGAGTCATTAACAAAGGAATCGAAAACTTTTCGCACGTACTCGTGCCCTCCGGATTTTAACCAGCCACCCTTTTACCCCCCCCCCCACACACACACCCATTGTCCCAACTGCCACTTCGAGAACAAGCTAAAGTTTTATCGACAAATCCACGACCTCCTGAAGGGGTCTCCAACGTGCTCGCGCTTGACCTTTTCCCTCCCAACGAGTCTGCTTACCTAGCGATTTAGTATTTTAAGTAGATTATCTTTACGTATTATATGTGATTTGAATAACATTTATTTTGAAAAAGAAATTGGATTTTATTTTAGAAATATATATTCCTATTTATGCTAGAAAAAAATAAGTCTGAAATAAGACAAAGCTGGACTAATTTGAAGCCACGGCCAATAATTCTAGATAATGGCAATCAATTAATGAATTTGCGTTATTATCCGACAGTGAATAGGTAACTAAAGCAAGGAAAAGTAACATACTTATTGTAATAGACACAGAGACATAAAGAAAAAGCAGTAATACATATTTTCCGCGCATTTTGCCTGTTGCTTTCTGTTTCTCTTACCAAACCTTTAAGTAATGCACCGGCAGGCAAAAAAAACAAACAAAAAAAACAGTGAAAGTGAAAATCCATAACAGACATATAGCCTTTTTTCCCGCAAATTTCTGAAAACGTGAAAAAACTAGAATCCTTTATTTCTTCACCACTCAACCACATCCACAGATTTTGAAACATAATCTGCATACATGGGATTGCTTCCTTTCTTGAAGAACAATCAATATACTACAGGTCCCGTATTTGTATACCACTAAATGTTGATAAAAAAAAATTGTTGACTCCTACTTCCAGTTCACTTGCAGATCATTCGCTTATATGAGATGTCAATTACAGTCGAAATAAGTATAACAAAAATGACGTACCAAGAATAACAATTTGCATTGCAGATGTCACTGAAAATGGTGAATTTAAACTAATTCATTAAAGGCATGTTGCTGCTTGAATGTCAGAAGTATAAATAATACAAGTTTATATCACAGTGTACTAATGCATGCCCACATTAGATGTGAAAAAATATATGCTGCTATCTTTGCTTGGGAATCGAAAAAGAAAGAACCGTAAAAGAATAGCTCGTAAATATTTCCAATATAAGATGACAAGAAAATCATGATGTAGAAAAAAAATCGACACCGTTATTTCTGTCACGTGAAATTTCATGAAAATAGCCATTGTGTAGCTTAAAAGATCGATCAAAATGAAACGCATTCCATAATTCCTAGGAGACATATTATTCATTCATATTATATCGGTATTTTATTCGATTACGCAATATGTAACGGATCATATAACTTGTTCTCCTTCAATTTTTGAGACTACAGAAAACGAAAATCAGGTTTTTGGGGGAACTGTTAAATTTCTTGCTTGTCAACCCTATGCAAGGACTTTTCAAGGACCATTGAACATGAAAAGGGGATATGCGTTTCCTAACATGAAGAAAATGCTCAATGATTTGCATAAGATGTAATGCAATTTTAATGTTTAAAGTAAACAACGCTAAGTAAATACCCACGTAATATTATAGTTCACATATATCATAGATTTACCGCTCAGTTACCTAAACATATAAATTGTATGTAACATTATATATGCTACTGATAATGAATACGTTGCGATAAATACATTATATATCAGAAATATTGTGTTTGCATTTGTTGTGTGTATTAATCTAAAATCATATACTTAAGAGATTGAGATAAGTCTTTGGTATTATCATTATTATTATTACTATTATCATTATTATTATTGCTGTTGTTGTTGTTATTGTTTTTTATATTGCCATTATGATTATCATTTGCATTACTATTTTTATTATTATCATTATCATCATTGTTATTATTATCATTATTACTATTATATTTAAGATTATTGTTATAAATATTACTGTTATTATCATCATTATTATCTTTATCATTATCTTTATTATTATTATCATTATTATCATTAGTATTAATAGTTACAGTAGTAATAGTAGAAGAACATGCCCAGTCAAGGCAATTTAAATTGTTGATTAAATTTTGTGACGTAGAGTTGGAGACTATAGGCTAGTTTCTTAAAATTATGCGAGGCCCGACCTAACGAATAATTGTGTGTACGGAAATGCATATACACAGATATAAATGCGAATATATTATTCTAAACATGTATTTCAACTGGAAAGATAGATAGATCAATGTATATACGTCTGACAGATAGACAGATATGCCTTTATTTCTGTATGTATTCATGTCCTTATATATGAATATTCATTGGCCGTGCCTCGTATAATTTTAACAAAATAGCCGTTAGTCTCTAAAAACATTGTCTTGTTATTATTATTATTATCATCATTATTATCATTATCATCGTTAGTAGTAGTAGTAGTAGTAGTAGTAGTAGTAGTAGTAGTAGTAGTAGTAGTAGTAGTAGTAGTAGTAGTAGTAGCAGTAGTGTTAGGCTGAGCAAGCCCTAACAACACTCTTCGTATTACTTTACTCTCGTGATTCAATCATATTCCCTCCAATGAGGGCAGACTTGAAGATGCCAGGCCACCTAGACAAGGGGCTGGTTGTTCGGTTGTATGGAAGTTGAGGTGACAGTTTCAGGAGGCGATTTGGTATTTTGGCCCTTATCTCGAGTTAAAGTAACCACCAAGATCGTCCACAAGTACTGGACCCCTAACATAAACACAACTTCTACAACTATAGCCTTACTACCACCAAACACTATTTTGTGGCTTTCTTCCCTTATAGTGGGCTTTGTTCACCAAAGGTCTGATATCTTCAGGTCCCGGTTGTACATAGCATAGTAAGGTGTGTCGCCAATAGCCTTGTGATAGGACAGAGTTCAGAGCCATTTTGTATTGTTTAGATAAAGATCCCAGTACTGAGAACTTGTCGATTGGTCCGTCCACAGAGTCCACTGGACGCAGGGTAGTATGCAATAATCTTATAGTGCTGAAAATGCATATGTTTTGCCATTTCTTTCAGGACCTCATTCCTAAAGACGTGTTCATGATCCGTCAATACCGTCTGAGGGATCCCAAGATCTGAATAGATCTCACTTACAGCCTCAGCTACGGTCTCAGCATTTTGTTGGGTAGTGCTCTAACCACGGCAAATCGTGTAAAAAAGTCCATTATCACCAATATATACTGGTTTCCTCTCTCAGTCAGAGGAGGGATCCCATCAGATCCATCGCAACTGGAAAGGTTCTTGTGGAATATTTAGATGAGGACGCCCTTTAAACTTTACACTAATGTACTTCTCAGCCATGTCTTTGTCCATGCTATGGCCTCCTGGTGGTGCTAAAAACACAAGTGTCAGTGCTTTCGGAACTAGTGTTCTAGGCACACGCAGCACTTCCTTCACATCTCATGCCGAAATAGGTATCCTAACCCATTTGTAAAGGAGCCCTTGATCAAGGAAATAGTCTTCTGCCATCAGGTTTGGATCCACCGTCTTATCGAGAGGGTTCTTTGTCTAGAGAAACTTTATTACAGGCGAGTACAAAGGATCTTGGTTTTGCTCCCGGGTCATTTCGTTGATAGACCAGAGAGGACCAACTTCCTCATCCTCTTCCTGTCCATCCTGTCTCACTTTCCCTCCTTAATTATTGCCTACTACTGCCATCAATGTCTGGCAGTTTTGAGCCTCGTAGCTGGCGACTGAAATATGACACCTGGCAAAAGTGTCCTTCATACCTCTGTGCTAGAATGGCACCAATAGCTCCCTTACTGGCGTCAGTAGAGATGTACCACGTCCGTGAGAAGTCAGAAGACCTCAACACTGGTTCCTTTAGCAGGCTCATCTTTAAGGTTGTTTCTTTGAGGTCAGCTTTGTCAGAGGTTGGGCCCTTTGGGCATACTTCTCTATGAATCGTCATATATGGAAGGCGCGGGTGAAGTTAGATCTTCGCAAATCTCAACTGTATTGGAGGCAAGATCAGCATTCTCCGATCCTCCAGATGATCATGACAACAGCAGCAAAAATCATTAAGAGCACACACAAAACCAAAATATAAACAATCATAATCCGCTAACAATCAGAAACACCAAACAACCCAAAGTGCAAAAATTAAGATACTCATAACCTGTGGAAAAGCCTCAAACCATATATAGATGGTTATATCAGTATAATAACCACTATAGTATAACTGTAGAATGGTAAGTTAGTTTACCCTTCAATTCATTTTCTATGAGCTATTACTAATGAAGGAAAAACTTTGTGGGGTAACTAACTAAAAGTATTATTCGATCAACTGAGAGGATTAATTTACGATTACAACTTTGTATTAACCTCACAAACATAACATTAAGCATAACAAGAGGGTCATTGCTTCTA